ATTCTAGAAAGTGAGAGTGCACAGCTATGAAACCCAAACTGCAAGGCTCACACAAGGCTGATTGGGGTGGAAGAATTAAATTAGAAACACTAAGAATTCAAAATGAACTTTCTGAAAAATCCCTCAAATGAACGCATTTCAAAACTTTTTGCAACTAAACAAATCTAAAATAGTTCCTTCATTTAAAAAATCTGGATGAACATTTACCTCTTGTATACTTTTATAGGGTACAGTACAATATTTTCAGACATATGCATGGCATAAATGATATTGTAACAGGCACCCAGAGTTGGTTCCTTGTCTCAAGGCCATGATGAAATTTGATGCAGGCAACAATGCAGGTGGGGGTGGAGGGGTGGCGGTGATGTGAGCAAAGCAAGGGAAAGTAGATTTTATTGAGAAACAGAGACTCCTGCTTGCCGGGAAGGGTTTCCAAGGAGGGGTCCATCAAGGTCTGGGTTTTGGGAACTTGTACAGGGACTGTGTGTCAATCCATCAAATCTTCTACATAATTTGAATACGCTGGGGTCTGCTTTGTTTTCTCTATGTCTCTTGTGTAGCAGTCATGGCTCCTGAGCTGTTAACAAAGGTTACTGTGTCACCATCTGGGAGACGTGACAGTTGAGAAATATTGTTGATTTGACAATTAAGGCGGGTTGTGCCCCCCTGATCGGTTGCTAAGCACCTGAGACGTGCTGCTCTGTGGGGTGTTCTGGTCTGACGCCAGAGCCCAGTTGCTCATACAGTTACCTACGGGTATGGGAACCATTGTGTTCCCCAACCGCTGATCTCTCTGCTTTCTAGGGACAGTGTCTTTTGTCTAATCAGGTTTCACACAAACACCTGGTTTCTCATTCCCAGGGGGCCCTACCTGCCTGTTAACCCTTCTAGCCCCTCAAAACAACAGGCTATTATTTTCTATTTATCTTTTTGTGTGTCTTTGTGTAAGCTCCTCTCTTACAGTTTTTGTTGAAACATTTTTTTAAAATTTTAGTTCGATTTACTTGAGAGGCTAGGAGACAGAGTGAGCTCCCATCCACTGGTTCACTCTCCCAATGGGCACAGCAGCCAGGGCTGGACCGGGGCTGAAGCTGGGAGTAAGGAACTCAATCCACATCTCCCACGTGGGTGGCAGGAATCCAATTACTTGAGCTGTCACTTCTGCCTCCCAGGGCCTGCGTTACCATAAAGCCAGAATCAGGAGCTACAGTCAGAACTCAAACCTAGGTTCTCCTGTATGTGACATGCATGTCTTAACCGCCAGGCTAAATACTTACTCCGCCTCAATTCTTTGTACAGTATATATACAGGCACCCCACTGTGCGGCAAGAGAAACTTATCTTTCAGTTCTGTTGCCCTTGTAACTTTCAGTTCTGAAGTGCCCTTGTGACTTTCTATAGGGTATACAGTTCTCTGGTAGAGCATAATGTAGTTACAATGATAATGACATTGTGTTCTGCACATTCGTTCCAAAAAGAAAGGGAAACTTGTGACCCATTTTAGAAGGGATCTTGGGGGGTGTTTTGGTTATGTGGTGAACTCAGGATGAGCTGCTGATTTTTCCAGAAGTTCTATGTGGCAGTGATGGCAACTGTGGCACCAATGAAGAGGCCACCAAACCTCTCTCAGCACTGCTGGCTCAACTGCCTTGGTTTGTTGCCCTTCTACAATGCCTGCGGCTCAGTATGCAACGCAACAGGAGCTCAGCAAAGCTGGTGGGGGTCAAGTGCACAGATGAAATGTTAAGTGACCTCGTTTGTGGCTGTTATAGTAGTACTAGGAAATGAACGGAGGGTGTCAGAATTGGTTGGAGGGAACACACGGGAAGCCCTGGATACTACATTAATTTTGAAAATGCTCCCATAGGAGCTGGCTGTTGTTTTGCAGTGAGTTAAGCTGTCACTTGGGATGTCTGAATATAGCAAAGTGCTTGGATTCAAGTCCAGCCTCTGCTTCCAATCCAGTTTGCTGCTAACATACACCCATGGGAGCAGCAGATGGTGGCTCCAGTCACTGGGTGACTGCCGCCCACATGGGAGACCCGGATGGAATTCCTGGCCCATAATTTTAGCCTGGCCCAGGCCTGCATGTTTTACACTAATTTATTAATAATAGTATTATTACACTAATAATTTAAAATTTAATTACTATGCTAATAATTAATTTTAATAATTAAAATTATCTTAATTAGTATTATTAAACATTACCAGTATTGTAGGCTAATTGCTGTCACAATTAAAATGTGAAAACAAACTTTGTAATGTGAAATAGCTCAGACAAAACAAAAATTTTTATAATAAAAAACTTTGTTATAAAAGATTTACTGGGGCCAGCATTGTGGTATAGTGAGTTAAGCTGATGCCTACAAAGCCGGCATCCCATACAGGCATAGGTTTAAATCCTGGCTGCTCCACTTCTGATCCAGCTCTCTGTTAGTGGGCCTGGGGAAGCACAGGAGGATGGCCCAAGTGCTTGGGCCCCTGCACCCATGTAGGAAACCTGGGAGAAGTTCTTGACTCCTGGCTTCAGAGTGGCTCAGCTCTGGTCCATGTGGCCATTTGAGGAGTGAATCAGCGATGGAAGATTTCTCTGTCTCTTCTCTGTCACTTTTGTCTTTCAAATAAATAACATCTAATCCAGAGGGTACTTTCTTTTTTTCAATAATTTTTTTTAAATTTATTTATTTGAAAGGCAGAGTTACAGAGAGGCAGAGAGAGAGAGAGAGAGAGGTCTTCCACCTGCTGATTCACTCCCCAGATGGCCACAATGGCTGGAGCTGTGCTGATCCAAAGCCAGGGTCTCCCACGTGGGTGCAAGGGCCTAAGCACCTGGGCCATCCTCTACTGCTTTCCCAGGCCATGACAGAGAGCTGGATTGGAAGTGGAGCAGCCGGAACACAAGCTGGCACCCATATGGGATGCCACCACTGCAGACAGCGGCTTTACCCTGTGGACAGTGCCAGCCCCCCAGAGAGTACTTTCAAGCTACTTTGAATCAGTTTCCCACGCCATCAAATGATGTTTGATGTTATCAAGAACGTTAATTGGTGAAATCCTCCAGGACATTCTAGCAGTAAGTTGAATAAACTTTTGAACATTACTTCACACCTGTTGACCCAGTCATTTGTCTTCCTTAAGAAGAGATTAGGTGGTGGGCACGTGGCACAGCTGGTTAAGCTGCTTGGAACACCCCACATCCCATACAGGAGCGCCTGGTGTGAGTCCTGGTTACCCCACCCCCACCCCACCCCTCCACTTCTGACCCAGCTTCCTGTTACTGCACACCTTGGGAGACAGCGGCTGATGCCCCAAGTACTTGAGTCCTTGTCACCCATGTGGGAAGCCCCCATGGGGTTTTTGGCTCCTGGCTTCTGCCTGGACCTAGCCTGGCTGTAGGAGGCATTCGGGTAGTGAACCAGGAAACAGAAGATAGCGTGCTCTCTATCTGTGTCTTTCAAATAAAATACATCTTGTATCAAAAATCAGAAGAATTGGAGCCGGCGCCGTGGCTCAATAGGCTAATCCTCCACCTTGCGGCGCCGGCACACCGGGTTCTAGTCCCGGTTGGGGTGCCGGATTCTGTCCCGGTTGCCCCTCTTCCAGGCCAGCTCTCTGCTATGGCCAGGGAGTGCAGTGGAGGATGGCCCAGGTGCTTGGGCCCTGCACCCCATGGGAGACCAGGAAAAGCACCTGGATCCTGGCTCCTGCCATCGGATCAGCGCGGTGCGCCGGCTGCAGCGGCGGCCATTGGAGGGTGAACCAACGGCAAAGGAAGACCTTTCTCTCTCTGTCTCTCTCTCACTGTCCACTCTGCCTGTCAAAAAAAAAAAAAAAAAAAAAAAAAAAAAAAAAAAAAAACCTTAAAAAAAAAAAAATCAGAAGAATTAAGGTGGCGTGTAACTAGACAACGAGCTAAAGGCACTGTTCAGCGCACATAGGATTCCCAAACAGGAATTACTGTAGGGTTAGGGAAATGTCCGCCCCTGCCCCAGTGGTTCTCAGCCCACATGGCACCTTACAGTCACCTGTGGAGTGTTTGTTTTTGAACACGGGATCAGAATCCCTGGGGGTGGGACAGGCACTGGGATTTACAAAGGCTAGAGCAAGCTAAACACAAAGTGGCACAGGAATGATTCTGCTAATGCATATTTGTTGCAAACATCTTCAAGTCTAGTTAAACTAAGTAAGATTCCTGGATAAGATTCCGTGCTGCAAAAAAAGCGTAAACATCAATTTTGGTGAATGTGTGGTGTCTTCAATTTGCACTATTTATTTATTTATTTATTTTTATTTTTTTTGACAGGCAGAGTGGACAGTGAGAGAGAGAGACAGAAAGGTCTTCCTTTGCCCTTGGTTCACCCTCCAATGGCCGCTGCGGCCGGCGCACCACGCTGATCCGATGGCAGGAGTTAGGTGCTTCTCCTGGTCTCCCATGGGGTGCAGGGCCCAAGCACTTGGGCCATCCTCCACTGCACTCCCTGGCCACAGCAGAGGGCTGGCCTGGAAGAGGGGCAACTGGGACAGAATCCGGCGTCCTGACCGGGACTAGAACCCGTTGTGCCGGCGCCGCAAGGCGGAGTATTAGCCTATTGAGCCGCGGCGCAGGCCAATTTGCACTACTTTTTACCATGAATAGTTGAGGATATCACATGGAAAAGTATTTAGCACCGAAAATGCATTTTTCCAAACAATAAAGCACCCACCATTTGCTGGGGCAGTCTGGTGCCAGGCAGTGCCTGGGCTACTCCTAAGCGGGTACGCTCCCGCTGGACCTGGGGCACCCCTACTCCCAGTCCATTAGCACCGAGCCAGACCAGAACCGGGCCGGCCGGGCCCGCCCCCGCCGCTCCAGGAGGCCACAGCCCGACTTCCGGCAGCGTCGCCCCGCCCACCTCGCGTCTCCCGATCCTCTCCTGGGCCTCGCTCCAGCAGCCTCGCTTTCGCTCGGCCGTCAGGTTTCACGGCGTGTTTTGTTTACGACGCTGTCGTGTAACGGCGCGCTTTACGGCTGCGGGAACGGAGTGCGTCGGCGCCAGGGCCGCTCGGGCCGCCAAGCAGCGCGGGCGAGCGAAGTTGATGCCCGGCGGCGGGGCGAGCGCGGCATCGGGCCGGCTTCTCACCGCCGCAGAGCAAAGGGGGGCCCGAGAGGCGGCGGGGTCGGCGTCCCGGAGCGGCCCGGGGAGCTCCGGCGTCGGCAGAGGCGGATCAGGCGGCCCCGGGCCGGGGAGCGGCGGCGGCGGCGGCGGCCCGGGGGGCCCGGCGGGCAGGATGAGCCTGACCCCGAAGGAGCTGTCGAGCCTGCTGAGCATCATCTCGGAGGAGGCGGGCGGCGGCAGCACCTTCGAGGGCTTGTCTACCGCCTTCCACCACTACTTCAGCAAGGCCGACCACTT